CGCAGGAAGCTGCCGTGGTCGAACATGTCCGCGGCCGCGGGGTCGAGCGTCCAGTAGTTGCCCTTGCCCGGGTTGCCCGGCTCGCGGGGCACCTTGACGAAGCAGTCGTTGAGCGTGAGGTTGTGGCGGATGCTGTTCTGCCACTTGCGCGGGCTGTCGCGGTAGAAGGCGAAGCGCTCGGTGATGAAGCGGTAGATGGCGGCCAGCGTGAGGCGGCGGCCCGGGGCGTGCGCCAGCGCCATGGCGATGAGCGCGATGTACGAGTAGGGCGGCTTTCCGCGCTGCAGGGGCCGCCGCCGCCGCCGCCCCGGGCCGGGTGCGGGGCTGGACTCCGCCTCTGCGCCGCCCGCCGCCGCCTGCTCGGACCCCCGGCCGGACTCGGCCTCAGCGAGTGGCGACGGCGGCGGCCCCGACGGCGCGACCGAGGGCAGAGCGGGGAATCCCGAGAAAGCGGCTGGTGGGTCCATGTCGCTGAGCCAGCCCTTGGGATGCGGCAGCCCCTGCCAGCGGCTGGGGAGGACAGGGCCCTTGGACGCGCCTTTTATGGATGGCCTCGCCACCCCCAGGCGAGGGCTAGGACCTTCCCGCTGGCCAGCGCCTCCAGCTCGCACCCCTGCCCCCTTCCCGCGCTCGCGCCTCGCAGCCCCCTCTACATCGCCCCTCCCGCCTTCCCTGGGCCTCTCGCCCCTTTGGGTCCATTTCTCTTAGACCCTGCCTCACTGCTTCCCTATCTCCGTTGGGCCAGTCCCATCCCACGATCTGTCTCCTTCTGCCCTCCCCCTCGCCTCTCTGGGTCAGTCCCAACCACAAATCCATCCATTCAGGGCCCTTTCCTGGACCTCACCCCAGTGTGCTCCTCCCAGCAGATGGGTCCCTTCCATCCTCTTGCCATCCTTCCATCCCCAGCTGGAACAGTGATGAGAGAAGTCTTGCCAGCCCTCAATGTTCTTTGTGGCTGGTCAGGAACATGTCAAGCGCAACATTAGGAAACTAGGGCTAAAGTCACAGAAAAGGGCGGACGCTGGTTTCATATAGACCCCAGGTCAGAGTCATTGTCTGTTCTTGTGCTGTCTCTCCCACATTCCAGTCACGGCGTTACATCGGGCCTCATGAGAAATCAACTTGGTGAAATCAAAATTATAAAAAGTGGCCCAGTTGCTTTAAATCAGGAATCTCCCCAAATCCAAAATGTGAATTTTGTGTGGGGATTCTTCCACACACAGCCCTCTGAGTTCTGAGGAGCACTAACCAGTGTGAGAGAGGCTGAAGGCCTAAGAGAGCTGCATTCTGAGGCAGGGACCACACTGCTCATTGATTTAGGGGGGTCGTGGCAGTTTTTATTAAATATCACCCACTACCATAATCCAGAGGGAATTGAAAGGCCAGGGAAGTATACCTTAAAGCCTTTCCTGCTCTTGTGGTCAGGCAAGATCAAGGGACCTCCCCAGGAAGCAGGACTGGAAGTACAATGAGGCAGGTGAGGGGCCCACCATGCTAAGTTTATGGGACTCTGGGGATTCCTGAGTATAAGGTCAGCCCATGAGAGTCAGGGCCTACTGAAATTTGGGGCCTCGCCTCCCACATCCTAGTCTAGCACTAATGAAGTATGCCTTATGGCCCTACAGGTGACCAAAGTTAACTTTAACTGTCCTGTGGCTTAGGATGTCAAGATCCCAACTCAAATCTGGAGCCCAAGGGCCTTCTTCCAGCTTTAGGTGCAACTGGTCCTGTCATAGCCACTATTACTAAGCATTTTGTATTTGGTAAACATGTTAAATACATTCTTTAATTTAAGTTTGAGCATTTCTATGAGGTGTTCCAATCTTTGTGAATTAGGAAACTTAGGCTAATAACAGCAGAGCTAGAATGAAACTTGAGGTCAGAGCACAGCTCTATCATGCTTCCAATAGCATCCTTCAAAATGGAGGCTTTAGAATCTAATAGATCACACTGGAGTTTATGCAGCTTCCCACACTTCAGCAGCTAAAATGGACTCCTGGCCTCTCTCTTGACCTGGCCAATATGTCCAGGTTCCCATTGAACACTACCACATGGATGGTCAATGAAAGGAAATGTTTTTCTTGCTTAACCCAATGGGCTCTCCAACCACATCCTAGTCTCATCCCAGCATTATAGATCTTAAGTGGATACCTTCTTCTCCTCCTGCCTCAGCTTCTACATCCAGGCCTTTACCAGTTCCTGTCAATATCACACAACCCCAAATCCATCTTTTCTTCAGTGCTTCTGGCCCCAGTTCAGCCTGCATCATTCCCCAAGTACATGGAGCCAGGCCCTTTGTGAATGCTCAAAGCAAGATAGAGATGTAGAAAATTACAACCTAGTAGAAAGATGGACAATGACAAGCTGTGAAAGAGTTGGTCAGGGGTCTGTGGAAGCGCAAGATGACAATTTAGAGACAGTGTCCTACCTACAGCAACAAAGCATCAGCTGGGTTTGTGCTGAAACAGAATAGTCTCTGCCTCAGTACCCTCCCCACTGAGCATTCTGCTGCCACAGCTCGGTTTGTAAGGAACACAGGACAGTGCAGTCACCACAGACAGCTCACTGAGAGGAGGGCAAGGCAAGCAACCACAGCAGCACGGAGTCCAGTTCTAAGAACAGAGCAGCTTCCAATCTGCACATATTTCCTTACCTGCCAAATAGAAGCAATACTATATTTCCTCAGCATTGTTACAAATCTTGTCCCAAAGTGCATGGCCTGCATTGGCACTTGGTAAGAGAGTCTTTTTCCCTGACTATAAAACAAGCATTTATAGTATTAGCTGGGAGGACAGGGAGAAACCAGGGTATTGTTTCATTCAACTGCAGCATAATCCTGCATTACACTCAGGCACAGAGACAGTGCTGATGGCACCTCAGCCAACCCGTTGGCCCAGTTCCCTTCAGGGATACAGCCCCTCCAAAAAAGCGCTCCACTACAGCCTCTATTATATGCCTCCAGAGAGTGAAGAGGTCACTGGCTCATATTACCTCCTATAGCCGACTGCAGTTTTCTTGTACTTTCAATTCTCTAACCCATGTATGCAACCTTGGGCATGTCCGATGAGTGATACTGAATGCTCAGTTGGTTATACTAGTCCTAAGGAGACTAGGTGGGGAGCTGGGCCAAAAGGGTGAGAACCTAGACTTTTTCTAGTTCTTTGTGCCTTTCTGGCCCCTTCCATTGGGCCTGCTTCCCAGAGCAGAGCAGGCCAGTGTCAAGGGGTGGCCCAAGGGCTAATCCGTGTTTTCAGCGTGGCTGGGCCCTCTTTTCACAGGCCCTGGGCCGGACGTGATGCGGCTGAGCATCCGGGCATAAGATGGCCAACGAAGGCGGCCCCTTTCTCATGGGCCTGGATTCCAGGCGGCCCAGTGTCTGAGTGGAGCCCCTGGGGCGGGAGGAACACACTGGCTGGGCTGGGCAGCCCTTTGTTTGACCACACTGGGTGGATATTCAGACTGGCAGGAGGGATTAATGACCAGGGATTGGCCCTGGGGCCGGCCTTCCCACTGCCCTTTGGAGGCCAAAGGCCCAGGTCAGGGCACACAGCATTGATGGCTCTCTAGATAGGAGTGGAAATTCCCAGCCTTGCCCAAAGCTGTTTGCACCAGACACCCCCAACAAGACCCCCTGTCCCCAACCGCAGCTCTGCAGAGATACCACTAGCCCAAACATTCTGTAAGGCAAGCAGCAGTTGTGGAGCAAGAGCTTACGATGTACTCAGCTTAGGAGAGAAGGTTGGGACTGAGAGGGTCCCATAATTACCCTTCCAGAGCTCCAGAGAGAAAGGGCCATGCTAACCCAATGAGGGTTCAGGAGACCATCCTGAGCTGTTACCAAAGTCCTTAAGCTTTCCTGGAACAGTCCTCTAAGATCTCTAGCTTCAGACCATCCTAGAGTTATATATTTCTAAAGTCCTCCATCACAGATTGAGGAGCCCCCAGCCTAGAGAGTGTAGAAGGGGCTTAGGATCCATAGAAAATCCTAAACAACCCCCTAACACCACTTCAGGCCACACACAGGCCCTGCAGGTCTTCTTGCGTCTTGTAACTCAAACTTGAGTACAGGCCCTTAGCTTATTCCTCAGGAGCCTGAGACAGGCAATTCCAACCAGTCTGGGGAGTGGCTTGGGACCTCACTATGGCAAAGCCATTTAGCACCAGGCTGTTCCTACACTAGGTATGAAAACAACAGCCCCAGTCTTGGCTGCAGGGCCCAGTCCCAAGGGGGATCTGAGCCAGGCACAGGGAAGGCAGCGAGTGCAAGTCTGACGCTGGTGGAAGAGCAGTAGGAACGAGGGTGCCTTTCTTTGTCTTCATCCCACAGGCTTTTCACTGTGCCAGTCCTAAGGATCTGTGTGGAGGCTGTCCCAGGAGCAGATGCTGGATCCAAGTGCTGAGGTATACCAAACCTGCCTTCTTCAATGTGACTCCAGGAGGCAGCCACACAAATCTCCCTGGATACAGTGGTCACTTAGGATGCAGACAGAGTAGGGGTGGCAGGAGCCTGAGTGAGGGAGCTTGTCCAGTGTGGCCAAATCAGGTCCTTGCCCAGATTTCCCAGACCTTTGGAAGTCTCCATGATTGCCATTCCAGAGCTAACCCAGTGAGAGTCCAAAGGGCCAGCCTGAGCAGCCACCAGATTTCTTTGGTTTCCTGAAATATTTCTCAAAGACATCTGGTTTGAACCCATGCTCTGTGTCCCCTTAACATCTCAGTTACTGCACTTACTTGGTTATCATTGTCCCTTCATGAGTCTCCCTAACCACACCTGCTACACACTGAAGGCTCAATTCATGAGACGGCCTGAGCTGATGATCGGTAGCTGTGCGCCAGATGGCTGAAAGATTTGAATTCCAAACTGAGAAAACTGGGTACAGAGGTGTGACTGCAAGAGCACGGGGTCCATTCTGGGCAATGCCAGACTTCCAGTGTTTCCCTGAGAATAAAGTTCTGAGGGCACCACCTGCACATTCCAGTGTGGCTGTCACCATTGCTACGGTTCTGATTCTCTGTGGCTGGTGAAGGATGTCAAGGAACTAAGAAAAGGGAGGCACATGGGGTCAGGTTATAACTGGTTTTATTTGCCAAGCTAAGGCACCGGCAGTAGGGATCTTTGAAAAGTTTCCAGCAGAGTGGTGACCTGTTCCCATCTCCCATTCGGATCCCCTGAGGAGGCGTGCTGCAAGGATCTGACTTGAGAGCAGTAGACGTCTCATTCCCTTTCTTTCTGGACTGGATGGAAGAGAGGTTATCTCTCATGATGGCTTGGCCATCAGCTTGTTCACAAAGTTCAGAAACTAGCCATCTGCTCCTTGCTCCCCTCTCCAACCATCTTCAGTCACTGAGGCCTTGCGTGTCTCAGAACTTGCTCTGAACCCCTCTCTCTTCTTTCTGTCAGTCCCAGCCCTCGTTCAGCCCAGTATCAGTACTTTCTTTTCTGACCACCTGGCTGGTCTCCCCACCT